TAATATAACATATAAGTAAAATAAGATAAGAGATAAAAAAAAATTACTTTTTATTGTATACTTAAAATAAAAAATAAAAAATTAATATTTTTAGATATTATAATTTATTATTTTAAAAAAGACTATAAATATAAAAATTAATCAAATTAAACAAACTTACATGATCTTAATAAAATAACATGTTATCATAATCACATGGTAATTTCAATCCTTAAATTATTTTTTTTTACTCTATTCATCTTTTACTAATGAAAAAGCTTCTTATTCTTCTTGCCCCCCCCGCCCCCTTTTTTTTTTGTCCATTGGATTTGCTCAAGTCAAGGCTCTCCGACTAAGCTGTGGAGTACATGGTCAATTAGTCATCAAGTCACAACTTCAGTACAATGAGAAAGGTTTTTGCTAAAGTCTACAGCCACACGGAAGCAGCAGACAGAAGGCTAAAACGGGTGTTGTCTATGAAAGAAATTTGAAATCCAATCCTTACATTATTAAAATATGGTACATGTATCAGAAAGTGCAGTTTCTTTTGGTAATTTACACAAGAAGATAATAGATTTCTCTATACTGTTTACATGGTTCCTAAATATTCAATTTATCTTCCCTTCACCTTCGTCTATCAGCAGTTTATTTGGATGTATGCTTGCTTCATGGACAGTTGATTAGAAGACACATCTCTTGCTCATGGCATTTTGAAATCATCTATTTTTGGACTCTTACCTTCCTTACTATTTGTCTTCCAATGTATAATTGCAAATTCATTCTTTAGAACTCTTCTCTTGAGGCCTTTGGATGAATTAAGGCACAAGCTCCGGTCTGCATTTCATTGATTTAGAGCACTTATATTACAGGTTCATAAAATGGCTTCTGCTTCTTCCATAAAACAAGGAGCATTCTTTGATTACCTGAGCATGTCTCCTGGGTATAGTTTTGGCCCGCTTAATGCTGGCGAGATGGTGAAAGTATTGCCATCACCATGAAAGGAAGGGTGCCCTAGAGGCATTGGCCTATCAGGAACTGGGGGAACTTCAATATCTCCTTCCAACATTTTCAGTGCATCCGAAATAGTAGGCCTCAAAGCCACCATTACGTGAGCACACAATATACCAACAAGCACAAATCTCTCCATTATCCCTTTTGGGTTCGAGTTCACAGAGTCCTCATCTTTCAACAAAGAAGGATCCAAAGCCTCCTCTATTTTTCCTGCTTTCACCAACGACCAAACCCAATCAGTTAACAGAAGTGCCCGTGGTGATTCCGATGAAGAGAAATCAAGAGCCTTTCTCCCACACATTATCTCAAGAACAACCACTCCAAAGCTGTAAACATCACTCTTCTCAGTTAGCTGCCCGTAAAGAGCATATTCTGGGGCTAAGTATCCATGAGTTCCAGCTACTCTAGTGGTGAGATGAGACTGACCTTCCTTACTCTGCTTGGCCAAACCAAAATCTGCCACTCTTGCTCTCATATCAGCATCAAGTAATATGTTTGTAGCCTTAATATCCCTATGGTATATTGCAGGCTTTACTCCATAATGCAAATAAACTAACCCTTTTGCGACATCTAGAATTATGTTCTTCCTCTGAGGCCAACTCAACGGTGTCTTCCCCGTTTTACTCGAAGGAAACAAGTGGTCATCAAGATTTCCATTTGGCATGTAATCATAAACAAGATACCTCTGACTCCCTTTCTCCTCATAATTCTCCTCCCCATCAATCACACAGCAACCCCTAAGAGGCACAAGATTTCTATGCTTCAGATTGCTGATGATCTCAACCTCATTGCAAAACTCTGCGTCCCCTTGAATCTCAGATTCTATAATATTCTTCACCGCCACCATTGTCCCATCTGGTAAAACTCCTTTATAAACAACACCAAACCCACCTCTCCCTATGAAATTATTGGGTGAAAAATTATCTGTTGCCTTCTTAAGTTCATGAATTTTGAACCAAATTGACCCAGTATTCGGTCTCAATTTAGGCTTAGATCCTTCCTCCACATCATAAAAACCAGAACCTGAACCATCAATCTTTGATCTCCTAAATCTTTTCTCATACCAAAAGTACAAACCCAATAAACTAGTCATCACAAAAAAGGCAACCCCAGCTCCAGTCAACCCAAAAACGAGCCCTAAATGTTTATTACTCACAGGGGATTTTGTTTCCAAAGACAACCCAAAAGTACAAGTCACAGCACCATTACTCAGAGGTCCATACTGATTCACAATTCCAGCAGCATACAGAATAGCAAGGTGAAAACAATTAGTAGCATGACTTTTATTACCATCAATTTGCACCAGCTGTGACTGAGCCTGGTAGCCGGCAGTAACACACGCATCACAGGCGGAGAGATCGGTGAGATCAGGCTTGCAGGCCGAGTCAAGCGGAATCGAATCCCCAACTTTAGCAACCCAATCATGAGTCGACTCTATGTGGGCACAAACATTGGGTGTGATCACAAACTGCATCGGATCCAAGCAGTAGGAAACCAAATTGGGCGAGAAAGAAAGCTCGGTGAGTTTTGATTGCAAATCCTGGAGGCAGGATTCCGAGGTGGGCAAGTCCGGGAGGTGGAAAAAGGAGGTTTCTTTGAGGCGCTGCGCCATACCAACGCCAAAGAGGGAGAGAAGCGAGGTGCAACAATTAACTACACTAGTGCCGTCAGTCGGGGTGGAATTTGGGGGTGGGTTGAAGTTTTGACAAAGGGAAGTGTTCCATGGGATTCTTAGGACATAGCTGAGGTCCATCGGACATGTTTCCGATGTCGGAGGTGAAGATGACAAGGTTAAGGAAAGGAAAGACAATGAAAAAGCACAGAGAATTACTAAATCAAGCTTCATAGTACTATGCCTCTGCCTGCGTCGAAATGGAAAACGAAAATTTTGCTCCAGCCTTCGTTTGTTTCTCCGGAAAATTGGATGCTTTACTTTTCTTGGTGATTGATGGTACTAAGTTGTAGTAGTTTCAGAGATTGAGGAGAAGATATATTGTCATATTGATATGATTTTCCACTTTGAAGGTCAAAGCCGCAATTCTTGATTTTTCCTTGGCGGCTACTGAGGTTCCCGAAACGTGGCAGATTGCATCTTGTCGCGTGTGTTGGTTTAAGGGTTTTGATTGGAGCGTTTGTTACACGGAATTAGTGTAGGGACGGGGGGTAGAGCTGACGGAATGATGACGTGGTAACAAAGGCGGCTATAAATAAAATCAGAGGAGGACCCCACCAGGTCCGCAATCATTGTCCGCCTCGGCCAGTAGGTGCACTGCCGCAAGGACTAAATTTTTTAAAAAGGAAAAATAGCATAAATCAGAGATTAGGAAGAAGGAAAAAGATGTCAATTTTTTTTATGGATAAAAAAAAAAGATGTCAATTTTAGTTACCATTATTATGAAAACTTGTAGGATTTTTTCTAATCCCTTCATTAAATTAGGTAGCAATAAATAATATTGGGTGTATAATTTTAATTATTATTAATTAATTTTTAAAATTTCATTTCATTTTTTACTTATTTTTTTTAACATTTTGATATGGGAATATGTCCGATGGAGAGAGAAGGCACCTTGACTAAAGTTATTGGACCTTTAGAATCACGTGTAATTTTTTATTTAATTTAATTATTAAAAAATTACATTAATTATAATTTTAATTTATATTTAAAGGTACATATTAAAATTAAATATTATTAATTATTAAAATATTATTAATAAGATAAAGAAAATGATTTTAAGATAATTTTTTTATCTTATCTTTTTATACAATATGACGTGTTATTTATATGATTAATTTTTTTTATTCATATGAATCACATAAAATTAAATGTATTTACTCATTTAATAATATGTAAAAATTATATCAAAAAATAATATAAAAATATTATCCCTATAACACCGCCGTTAAAATAATTCTCCATAGGAGACTCCAATTGAAAATTGATCATTGACGTTTTGAAGGCATTTACCAAGAAATATCTTTGACATAAATAGACAAAAGAAAGCTAATATGATACTTGACACATTTCCAACCGAACCTATTCACCATTGGACCTTACTTCCTTCCCTTTTCCTAATTTCTTATATTGCTTTGAATTTTATTGTTTTTTTTTTGACAAGTTGAATTTTATTGTTACCTTCTCTCACCATTTGTTTAATTTTTCTTTTGTTCACATTTTTCCTACTCTTTTTTCCTACTCTATAGTACTTTCCCAACCACCATTGCACATTTGCGGTTCCATTGTCACTACTTTTTTTAGGAATGCGTGATATTTAAAATTTAAAGTTCAATTTTTAATAATCTCATTTTTTATCTTTTAATTGTATTAATTTTTAAAAAATACTCTCAAATACTTTATTCTATCTTTTTGAGGTGGGTTGATTTGTTTAATGATTATCTAGGTGAAGTTTTCTTTCTTAGAAGGCATTGTAATATAAAATAAAATCATATGGAATTATAATGGATTATTTTAATTTTATTAAATTCAGAAGCCTATTCCATAACCTTGCTTGTTGAAGAGTGTAAAATTTTTATAATATTTAAAGAATTTATTTAATTTGTATCCTAAAAATATA